AGCAGTATAAATTGAACTAAATCCACCCTCTGTCAACTTTGTTACTTTTTCAAATTGCTCAAAAGGTATCCATTCTAAAATATATTTTGGCAGAGATGATTTCATTTGACATTGTTGAATAAAATCATCAATTATGTTATTCCCAGATGTCCAAGTAGTGAAAAGACCCTGTAGTTGTAAAGTAATACAACCTTCACAAAATCTATCAGAGTATCTTGTTGATTTACATTTGTTGCATTCTTTTGGTTTGCCTTCTTTATATGTTACATTATTTAATTCAACCACATAAACAAAGTCTTCTTTACAATATTCCTTTTCATTTTCAGAAAGTTCCTTGTTTTTTTTGACTAATGAAAAAAAATAATCTTTACTATTTTCTCTATCAGAATTAGTCAGAGCATTATTCCACATTTCATTATTAATTTTAAATACAAATCCCTTTCTTTCTAGTGGTATTAATGATAATAATTTAATATAAGACATCATATAAAAGTAAATGTATTTATAAGATTTAAAATTTATTTGACTCAATCTATTATTGTGTTTTATTGAATAACAATTTTTTTTGTACTGATAATAACACAAGTCTGTTTATTTATAATTATTCATAATTCTTTGTATTATTTCCTTTTACAGAGAATTAATTGAATGGCGTGTAACAAACAATTTTCACGTACTCTTTCTGGAGGACTTCGCAAACTTCATAGATAGGCTACTACTGCAGCTGGGCCAAATTCATGTATAAACTAAATTTTTTGTCAGTGATTATAATAACCTAAAAAGCAATTCAAGGGCCTGTTTTCTTGAACTCAGCTCGAACTTGAAAAAATTCAAGTTTTAACTTGAGTCTGCTCAAATTAAAAAATAAAGCGAGAAAAGAATGATTCGAATGATTCGAATAAATCAATAAAAAAACGAATAATTAGAATAATTAGAATAACAAGCAATAAAATGAACGAACAAAACGAACAAAACGAATAAAATGAATAATTCGAATAGTAATAATAAATAAAAACATAATTCGGAATAAACGAATAAAACTATTTATAATTACTATAAATTTTTAGGGGATCACCAATGATTGTCGCCGCACCGGTGCGGTGAGAAATAGCAATCCCCATCCTCTAAATCTTCTTTGATATCATCTGTTGTTTTAATTTTTGTTTTATATATTATAATTTTTTTTTTTTTTTTGCACAATTTTTTTGTGATTGGTTTTTGAAATGCCTTCTTCTGAAAAGGAAACTCAACATCAAAACCATATTACTCTTTTAGAACAATGGCATAGAATCTGCAAATGAATTACATGATCTAACCATCTATTACAATATTGAAAAGTTAAAGAAAATGGGTAAAGTTTCACACAAGGGAGGTAATGGTTGACCAAAAATGAGCACAAGTAGAGTAGGACATGCAATTGGTCAATACATTTGTAGAGATACCTCTTTATCATTAAGAAAATTGGTAAATAAAGTGTCTGCAAATGATGTAAATGTGTCCCACATGACAATATCAAGATATTTAAAAGAGCATAGATATCAAAATATTCTGGATCTTTAAAGATGAACATCTAGAACAATGATGTAATGCCCATTTGTGTGGGCCTATCTTGCATCAATGCTTTGCAAATATTGAAAACATGGCAGGAGTTCATGGAGAATCTTCAGTATCACATCTGGATTAAGAAAAAATTTAGATCATACAGTTCCTGGTAAAAAAAAAATTGGCAAGATCAAAAATGGGTTGAAGAGCAGATTTGGTACTATGTGCTTCTTCAGATTTAGGATTTGGTGGAGCAGAAGTGAACGTTTTTGTAAATTCCAAAAGAGACAAAGTGAATTTTGGAAAGTGGTGTCAAATTACAAAATCATTAAAAGATATGTTTGTTCAACTAGCTACTGACATAGATCTGTCAGAAGAAATACAACATGAATTGGTACTTCCTGGATTTATACATGGTGGTAAGCAAAAATATACTCAATCTTTCTTTCATGTTTTGTTGTTTGGTTAGTTGGAAGGTTCTTTAAACACCTTCACCTTTAAAGGTTGTCATTTAATGTTATTGGCTAATATAAAAAGGGTAAACAACCAAAATAAATTGGTGACAAGTGAATAAAAGGAACTTTTAAGCTTTGTAAAGAGCTATCTTTATTTGTTTATTTATAGTCATCTGGTACCATTAAGTGTGCTTACAGATTTATATACAAGAAAGAGGTGAACCAATGTAAACAAGCCCTAAATTATTGTGAATTGTTTGCAATTAACCAACAAGAGTAGCCCAAAAGTAAAGCCATAATTGGCATTAACCAAAAAATTATTTTGTAATATCACCAACCATTTAACAAGAATCAGAAAACTGTAAAGTTTATTATATGAAATATTATGATAATTTAGAATAAAAATAAAATAAAAAGATAAATATTTATAACAAATAAATTTATTTATATTAGTCACTCATCAATACTTTCTTTTTAATTACTAGAATCTAATGCTTATTAATCAATCAAATTGCTAGTAATAATTAATGGATATTAATTTCCAATTAATGATAATGAAATTTTCATTCAAGGAAGCCAAAATCAAAATTATTTGATGAACTATCATTAATTGTATAACTTTTAAAGCATTTTGATCTAGCAATTTCTTCATCCAATATTCTACTTGTATGG